CTGATTATTGAGTTAACAAGCTTATGTTTCATATCTATCATTTTTTTAAAATTATTTTTATTGATACTCACTCAATTATAATTAAGTAGTAGATGGAAGGAAGATATTAAAGAACATGATTATGGTATTTTAGAAAAAACAAGTTACAGTTTTTGTAATTAACTAACTTATCTAATTTTTTAATCCAGTCAAATTAATTAAATTAATTTTACATTAAGAACCAAATGAGTATTAATTAACCATTGCCTATACACGAGTTAGCTGGGAGTTGAGTTTTATTCTAACTATAACAACTCAATTTATTTGTTTCTCATATTTATATTTTCTTTTATTAAACTATTTTATTAATTGCATATGTTAAGAAAAATTTGTAAATTATTGCAGGATACATAATTTACAATAACATAAAATAAGCTAGTACAATTATTATGAGAAGGAAAGAGATAGAAAAAAAGAAGATGGCGTGTTGATGGATAATATTGGTTTCCAAATTCTTGCAAGTGCTCGTTTAGACCTGCCATTGTAAGTGTTTATATAATTACGTTTTATATAAAATAAAATATTTTTTTACATACTTATCTCATATTTTATAAATTATAATTAAACAAGTGTAAGAGTAGTTGAATAATAATAACAATTATTACTATTTATATCAACTTTTTTCGATATTTTGACGTGCCCGCCGAAGAGCGAGGAGGTCAGACGTGGCAGACAACGTGGGCCTAGGTGATCACCTCTCCGCGTTCAAACCGCGTAAGGAATCAACGTGTCCATTTGGCATCAGAGGATAATATCAATCATCTAATAAAATATAAAATGAAAAAAAAAAAAAGAATAATGATTTTTGCCGGAAGAGACCATATAGGTGGGATGGCTGGGTGGACTTTGAAGGGTTGTATTACGGTGTCTTGGAACAGGCTGCGTATCAACCGCAGGTCCCCATCTCTACAGTGTAATTGGCCAAAAGGTTGTACGACCGCTTCTTAATACAAAAGTTTATTTAACTTTTAATATAATTTTAAATATAAGATTTAATTTATTTTATCTTTTATATTTATTTATTTTTAAAATTCTTTATAATAGTTGCCCATCTTAAATATTTTATCAAATGACACTTGATTATTAAAGGTATTTTAAAGAATATAATATATATTTATTACAAGCAACTAACTTAATTAATTTTTTTAATCTACTCAAATTAATTTCGTTCTTATATTAAAGACCGGAAGTGGTATTATATATATTTTATATTATCATTTATGCTAATAAAATCAATCACAAAATTAAATTATCTGATTATTTACTAAGCATTATGCACATAACAGGATTTCCTTTATTGATCATTTGTTGAAATTTAAAACTATAACATGCATTTGCATTGAGATTAACTAATCAATAGAGACCGTTAACATAAAATATATAGTTCACCCAAAAAATATATTAGATAAAAAATTATGAGGGAAGGTTGGGTTAATAAGTTTCATAAAAGTACCAGCATAAATTTGAATGATATGAACGAAATTATTTAAGTATAAATACAAAAAGTTATTTATACAAAAATTCTGGTAAAAAATAAATTTATACAAATGAATTGTTTATTTTTGATAATTAATAATATTATGAACATATGCATGTACGATAATTCTCAATATCGCAACTTTATTGTACACATCCAACTTTTTGTATTTTCATTTTCACAAATATCTTTTAGTCATTAAAAAACAAATCTCACCACTTTTTTCTTAATAAAAGGATAATTTTAGTTGGAGGAAGTAAAATAACACATAAAAGTGAAAAAGCTAAAAGCTTTTGCTCTAGTTATTTATAGATAATTCAATGACTTCATATAGGTTATATGCAGTTAAAAAATTTTTTTTAAAAAAATATAGAAGTCACTATGAAGTTTATACTCCTCCAGTCCCAAAAAATAAATTTTTTTAGTATAATTTACACTATAAAAAAGTTTTGTATTTAGGACTGGAGAATATTTCATACAAAAATCATTAGATTGAAATATAATATTTTTTCCGGTGTGTCAAAAAAAAGATTGAAATATAATATAATATAATTAAAAGTAAAATAAAAATTTAATTGGAACCCACTGTATTTATTTTAGACAAATAAAGTCATTAATTAAAATAAATTTTTTAAGTAACGTATAAATATTGTCTTATAAGACTCAAATCACCTCAATTTTGGTCAAAAATTTATTTATTTTAAAATTATTAAAAGAATATAATAAATATTTTTTCAGTTCTAGATATAAAACTCATTTTATAGTATAAATATAAAATTTATTTTATAATTTATAATATAATTTATACTGTAAAATAAATTTTATATTTAAAACCGAAGAGAGTATATTAATATTTTGGGTTAACAAGCTATTCTCGTGACGACGCATCCGTCACGAACAGGTCTCGCGGAGGACTTTCTCTGCCTATATATTAACCGCGTTTCATGGGGGCAACAAAATATTAACCGTGTCCGTGTTTCATTAGTCTAAAAAACAAACAAACAAACCGTGTTTCAGCTATTTTCGGGGAAATAGTAGGGGGATTCAGGTGCGGTAAGTTTCACATACACTTGGTTGGCAAAAAAAAAAAAGTTTCACATACGGTTGTGATGCGACTACGGTAGGCCGTACAATATCTGGACTCTCTTTGGGCTGACACGTGTCGATGTTCTCTGAAGAAAACGCGGCAGGCGATTCAATCGCCCCTCTCCAGTGGATCATCCGCGGACCTTATCTTTTTTTAAAGGGGAAATTTCATTATAGGACCGCAGAAGATAATTAATTTCAAAAAACCCTCAAAACTTTCTGAAATTTCACTGCAGGACCAAGGGGGCAAACTGATATTAATTTCACAAAGAAAATGACCCTATTGCCCCTCATGTGAACAAGTATGGGAGAACCCATTTGCAAGTGAGGTTAGATAATTTACAACATGTATAGATATATTTACAATTAAAATTAGTCCATTTACATATTACCTTCTTCACCTGAAGAATGTGTCTGGGTGAACAAGTGTGGGACAGCCCATTTGCAAGTGGGACTAGACAATTTGCAACATACATATATTTATTTACAACTGGAATTAGTCCATTTACATGTCACTTCCTTCACCTGAAAAAGGTCTCCGTGAGTGAACAAGTGTGGGAGCGCCCATTTGCAAGTGGAATTAGTCAATTTGCAACATACATACATTTATTTACAATTAGAATTAGTTCATTTACATATCACCTCATTCACCTGAAAAAGGTGCCTGTAAGTGAATAAATGTGAGAGAGCTCATTTGCAAATGAGACTAGTCAATTTGCAACATACATACCTTTATTTACAACTGAAATTAGTCCATTTACATGTCACCCTGCAATAAGTATTATGAGGGGCAATAACGTCATTTTCTTTGTGGAATTAATATCAGTTTACCCCCTTGGTCCTGCAGTGAAGTTTCAGAAAGTTTTGGGGGCTCTTTGAAATTAATTATCTTCTGCGGTCCTAAAGTGAAATTTTCCCTTTTTTAAATGCATTCAATGCTTTGATTTTTTATATGATATATTCAACATTTCAATGTTATTTTTAGAACGTTTGGCCCCCCAATTTTATTATTTTAGTTACATTTGGTATCCAGGATGCTAAATACATAAAAAATAAGATTAGAATGCTGAATGGACACAATAATAAAATCTAAGTGTTGGTTGCACCCTTGACCATACAAAAAATTAGGATGTTACATGCACTTGAAAAATGAAATCAGAGTGTAAGATGCAACTTTACTTTTTAAACTAATTTAAAATTAATCTTATGGTTTCGGTGAAATGTAACATTGTTAGCCTCATGTCCGTCAGAAATGCCTACGAAAAATACTCAAACCAACCCAAAAAGATAAGCAACGACAGTAATAATAATATGCACGGAAAACCAAAAAAAATAATAAAGAAAGTCACGATGAAATCTCCTTGTATAAATGTAATGATCAAAGGCTTGTTTGGATGTCTCCTCAAACCATGTTTGGGGACCCAAACCATAGTTTAGGGAAGAAGTCAGCCAAACAGGGAGAAAAAAAATGTGAAACCATGGTTTGGGATAGTGGAAGTAGTTTGAAGTTGCTTATAGCTCAAATTTTCTAGACGTTGGTATGAGCCCAACAGCATATGACAAAGCAGCCCTCATAATTGACCCCTCATTCTTCATTCCACGCTCAGTCTTTCACTATTTAATCTTATAATTTATAAATATATACACATATTAATTATTTATTAATTTTATTAACAATTTTATTTCTTCAAAGCAAAATATATTATAAAATCTATCCCTTATATAATTATCATATTAACTTATGTCTTTTTTAGTAATTTGCACATGTAAAAAGTGCTTTTAGTAACAACTATCTAAACACTCTAATTTCTCAAAATCATTTTTTTTACAAAACCTATTCTCTAGAAATTACTCTCCAAACCATGGTCTGGTTTCATCCAAACACCCTCAAAAAGTCACCATAAATGAATAGGACTTGTCATTTTCTTATAAGCTGCCAACTTGTTATGAGATATTTTGGTGACTATAATTCTTTTTGGAGACTTTTATTAATCTACTCAAAGTATCACCCAGTTTTTATATGTAAATTATTTGCATGAAATTTTTTATATTTATCCCTATTAAATGAAGGTTATTAAAAAAATATGCTATACATTTTCTCTCACTCTTTTTATTATATTTGGTACGTGTAAAATTATTAAAAAGTGATTAACAACCTTATAAGGTGATTTATTAATATTTATAAACAAACTTTTCTGTGACTTACGGAGGCTGAAACGGAAGAGAAAAATACAGGGAAAAAGGCGGTAAAGAGATAGAGGCCGCGGGCAATTGTGGACAAGGTTAGAGGGCAAAAGGAGAATACGAGTAAAGGTCAACCCGTCTTTCAACCCAAAAAAAAAAAAGTTGAACAGTGAATTATGATTCGATGGCAATAACCGACGAGCTCCTATTAAAACGGCAGTTCCTGTCCGAAGAGAAATTAAAGGGCTCTTGCTTTTGGGTGCCTCGCTCTCTCTTTCTTTCATCGTTAAAACGGACACAGAGTTCTCTTGAAGGAAGTTAGAGCGATTTCTCTTTCAGAGAGGAAGCGAACAATGGCCGATCAGCTCACCGATGAACAGATCGCTGAGTTCAAGGAGGCCTTCAGCTTGTTTGATAAGGATGGCGACGGTTTGTGTCTCTTTCTCTGCTTCGATTTGACCGGTTTTTCCTAGATCTATGTGTTCTTCTAGATGTGTTTTTCCAGCTGTTGGTGCTTCTTGTAAGAGAAGATTAACACGATTGTTGAGTTGGAAGAGTTATTTGGCGCTGTTGATTAGAACTGGTTTTGGTTGATTTGAATCTGTGGCTGTTTCATATTTGTATAAATCTAGGTGATATTTTCATTTCCTGATTAGCGGTGATATAATTTCCCCCTTTTACCTGTGCTTGGTTGACGTGAAAATTCCGTGGATGAGAAGAGTGGAGGGTTCAATATTGCCTTTTATTAGGATTATTCTACGTCTTAGTTTTTGATTTGACTGGTATTATAAATTGGCTCTCTTTGTTTTCAAAATCTTTCGTTGCCTGAAGGAATATGAGAAAAAATTGCGTGGGTCTTCGCATGTGCAGATTAGTCTGCTTCAGCAAAGAATGGTCGGGTTACATTTTCTCCACTTTTTTCTTTCGCAACTATACACGTAGTCTAGTCTGGAATGAGTCTCCCACAGCCGACTCTGACAAATGAATATATTATGTTATATCTTATAGATGTTATATTTCACTATATTAATATTCATGTTGATGTGTGATCTGAATAACTTGTAAGCATATATGTAATGGGGCCAGAAAAACAGACTTTGCATGTCTCCCACTTTTGTCGTTCTGTCTTTGGGCAAATATAAACAAGGAAAGAGAGCGCGTGGTTCTTGCTTTTAGGTGAAGTGAGAGCGCGTGTTTTTATTGGCTATGAGAGAGCGCGTGAGTTGGAATATAATATGATTGCGTTACTCTTGGTTTGTGATGTTTTCTGAACCTCCCTAATTTCGCATATTTAAATTGAAGGCCAATACAATGCCAGACCTAGAGGCCTGGAGCCGAACTTCAGGCACTGGCATTTGATTTCTAAAGGGTTGCAACGCTGTTGAACCTGGGCCTAGTAAGGCCTTTCCTTGTTGACGTGAGAAAGTCACAGCTTTGGTTATATCAACTTACCCATGCTCAGCTCTTGTACATAACTTTCAAATGTTACATGGAGAGACATCACTCGTTGTTTCCTTAGTTGCATTTTATTGACATCGATAGTTTGGTATAGTTTGTGAGCATCTTTTTTCTGTCTATGATCACAAAAACTAGAGTCTGCTGTTGAATGCTCACATAATGTTTCAGGTTGCATTACAACCAAGGAGCTGGGAACTGTTATGCGGTCATTGGGGCAGAACCCAACTGAAGCAGAGCTTCAAGACATGATTAATGAAGTAGATGCTGATGGTAATGGTACCATTGACTTCCCTGAATTTCTAAACCTTATGGCCCGAAAGATGAAGGATACTGATTCTGAGGAGGAGCTGAAAGAGGCATTCCGAGTTTTTGACAAGGATCAGAACGGGTTCATTTCTGCTGCTGAGCTCCGCCATGTGATGACCAACCTTGGAGAGAAGCTTACTGATGAAGAAGTTGATGAGATGATTCGTGAGGCCGATGTTGATGGTGATGGCCAAATCAACTATGAGGAGTTCGTTAAGGTGATGATGGCCAAGTGACCATTTCATTCTCCTAGAAGCTATATTTATGAAAAGAACCAAAACGCTCGAGATATATAACATGGAAAAATTTGTATGCAGTTCTTTTATATCCTTGTCAGATTCTTCAATTAAAATATGATCAAGTGTGTACGGGTTTTCAAGAATAATATGCCAGGATATGGTTCATACAAAAGTGTATGATTCTCCAGTTGATTCATACATCTGTCATGTTATTACTTCAAAGTCATACACTTGACATATCTTAATCAAGGAATTTGGTAGCAAGGACATAAGAAATTTAAGTCTTACCCACATAATATTTAGTACCCTAGTTCCCCTCGACCTTTTTCCCCCCTTCTTTTTTTAATGTTTATCAATTTGATGTTTTTAAATCCAACCCTTGCAACATATATCTGTAAGATTAGCTGTCGATTATGATATTGCGTCCTTCTAGTTTGCCTAGTCATTGTCTCCCAGGTTTTAATGGTTATTTCACTCCATTTTACCCTACTCATCATTTTTAAAAAAAATTCAATATTCTAAGTTTGAACGAGCAGATCTTCTGAATTCTGTCTGCTGCGGCTGAAATTTTGATATCCAAACTCGTGGAAAATTTTGTGCAGAAGAAAGAACTCTAGGAAATTTTTTAGGGCCGTTGCTCTTGAAATTATTGACATTGCAGCACAATACGAAAATGGAGTTAGCCATGTGTATGGTGCAATATGTTGGATCATTGCACATGTTTGCATTTCCTCAGGGACTAATATTTGGAGTGATCCTTCAATAACTCTTATTATTGCTGCTGCTCATGAAGCACGTCTCAGCCAATGTTACAGATCTCGTCCTTTTTATTATTGGTGGTCTCTGTGCCCTTAGTGGTTTTTGGAAGTTATATTAAGCGCAGGGTAATTTGAATTGAGTTGAATATAATTGATAATGCGAGTATAAAACTTTTGGTTTCCATTCACAATATTTTTCTACTCTAGATTTATTTTCAAAGCCAAACAATCAATGATTTTTTGTTGGCCAAAAAACAATCAGTGAATCAGCTGCACCAATTGTTATTAGTATGGATGCTTCTCGCACCTTGCCCCTTTGACAGTTGATTATTGGAGATTATATCTTTTAATATTTTGTATAAATATACATAGAGGGAAAGATTTGAAGAGTTAGAGTTAAATAGAATCTGGCCAAAAAAAAGTTTGGGAGAAAAAATGCAAACAAAATTTAAATTTACTTGTGTTCCCAATCTTTGTTGTTCTTTTTTATTATTATAGAGCAATACTATTATAAAATTTTAAGTTTACTTGACCGGCCATGACTGCTAAGGGATATATTTGGTCCTCTAAAGCTACGAAGAAACCTTCATTAGGGAAAATTATCACGAGCAAGATATATCTGACTATGTTTTGAATTGAAAAAAAAGATAAAAAGTTAGTTAAAATATTTTAAGCTTACATTTAGTTTCTTTTTATTTTTCTTTGTTTTTTTTTAAGTATGCTCCAGATTTAGCCACTTTGGGGATGCGCATCAGTGCTTGATGATGTATGAAAGTTTCAGTTTAAATTTTATTTAATACAATTAAATTAATACCAATATAAAATCCATATTACGTTGTTTTGCTCTTCTCTATTTAATTTATCCGCATATCTGAATAAAATAGTGCTCTTGGTTCATAATGTAGGATCTAATTTGAAAATTGATATTGGTCCTATATGTAAGACTTATCTAAGAATTTATTATTATTTTTTTCAAATTAACTCTATGGATATTCTCTCAACAATAATCAAATATAAGAGGAAGAAAAAGAATTAAGTAAGATAACCATCTAGGAATTAAGGGTGTTTTAAAAAAATATACCGTATTAACTAATTTAACTAACATTCTTAATTTATTTAAATGAATTTATTAGGTATTACATTAAGGATCAAAGGAGTAATTTATATGATACATATTTTTATAGATAAAATTGTCATGTGCGCGCGCATATATATTAAATCAGTGTCTCAGCCATTACTTTGACATTTTAAACTTCATATAAATAGGATTATATATTTTGAAAATTCTCTTTAATACATGCAGGTGTATTTCTAATGTTTGCAGCCATTTATGAAGCAACACATTCCATAGTTTTGCAAAATATTTTAGTTTTAGATGTTATATTAATTGCTGGATATTTAGAATTCTTTCTTATTGTGACATTGTAAGATGTTTTGAAAATGGAACTTCGTTACATAGAAGGGATAAAGTGGAACAGGATTGTATTTAAATGTAAATTCGTGAATAAAATTCCGCTTCACCTTACCCACCTTAGTTCTCCAGCCAGTTTTGCTTTACCCCACCCAGCCAATGAGCGCATAGACGAAGGGGTGGTGAGGGCATGATATCAACCACATAACTACACATATGCATACTTCAAAGGTTTCTGGAGGCATCTGCTCTCATTGAGCCTAACGTAAGTTGCCAATGCCTAGGCCCCCTTCACTTTTTTCTCAGTCACTCAACAAAACTGCAAATGAAAAGTTCAATTCAATTACTCCTCAACTTCATTACAATCTTTTCAAACTTTTCTTTCTGGCATCAATCTTCTTCTTGTCTGCCTGAGCTTTTGGTAGACCACTTTCCTTCTTTTGCGGGGCAGGAGAGGCAGGAGAAACCACGGTTGCAGCAGAAGAGCCATTACCAGCCGTGTCACTTGTAACAGCAGCGGGCTGTTCTTGGCTGCTTCCTCTAATTGCCATAGCCGAGTGGGCTGAAGGGGACTGCAATGGCAATGAAGCACCGAGAGATGCATTTTTCTCATCAGTAGTAAGAACTGAGGGGTTACTCTGATCAACATTCAATGCGGTAGTAGATTCTGATATAGCACCCGTTTTAAATTTGGCCTTCGACTTGGCATGTATTCCTGTGTAAAGCCTGCGTGAAAAAGATAAAGCTACTCGCTCACATGCTTAAGGAGAAAAATATACAAATCAAATATGAAAAAGAGGAAAGAGGGAAAAAAAGAAAAGAAAAGAAAAGAAAAGAAACAAAGTGATTTGGAAGGCATCAAACTTAAGTAAAAATTATCATAAAAGTCTCCAATCAAGATTATTAGTTTATTCTTATATTTAGGTGAGCAAAATGTCTTGTAAATCATAAATCAGTATAAAGAACTACAATTTCACAGAAAAATTAACTCAATGAAATTATCTTCAGCATGGTAAACTTCGTCAAAATGTGTTAATTCAATGTTCACTTGTCATAAGACTTGAGAACATCGTTAGTCTTTGTTAGCGCTCAAGGTGTCACATTACGTTCATAAGACCCAAGTTGATAGCACCAATAGCATTATCGGCTTAACATACCTGGCATGTCTAGCATACTCTTCATAATTTTCAAGCAGCATTTTGCCAGCTTGTTCATTTAAAGCTGATTCTGGAAATGGTTCAATCAATAGACATCTAACTACCTGTTAATTATCAAAGTTAAAAGTAAGACTGCACATGTCAAACTAAATTTAATAAAGCCTAATGTAGCTATGCTCCATACAGGCACAAGAGATTTTGCTTGCATGAACTGAACACTTACGATAAGAACATGGCGTAGCCCAAGGCTGGGATTCCAATCCTTTTTTAGCGTGTTGACACAAATCTCTCCGTTTGTTGCAATATTTGGATGAAAAATCTTAGTCAAGAAATAACCTACAACAATTAGGTTTGACAGCTTCACAGATTAGTAAAGTTGTGAAACTCACAAATGCTTAGACAGGATTATTTAGCCATGCAGGGCTCTTACAAAAACATATGCCCCTTGCTCATATCACATGCGTGAGTTCAACTCATTTTAAACTCATAATATGTAAATATACCTTTAGGTGGAGAGTTCGGAAAATCACGAGACAGTAACAATTTCATGCGAAAAACTCCATTCTCATATGGAGTCCCAGCTGCAAGAATAATAAACAGCTCATGGTTAAATTGAATTATTTACTTAACACTCAAGTATCAACTTAAAATAAAAGGCTACATGCCTGGGCCTTCGATGTCTGCATGTATTGTTGAAAAATCATCATCATTTACCACAACTTTGATTCCCTCAGGAGGAGATTCATCAAGATTTTTTCACAAGTTCCTTGACAAGTTTATTTATTACATTGGGTGGAAGATTTTCGTTAGTTGCCTGCAACCGGGAAAAAACACTCAAGATACTGAAGACCAAAACTGACAACCATGCCAAGTTCGTTGAATATGAACTGCAAACATATTATCACATCATGATTACTCCAGGCACCAAAATTATTTTCTTGGGCAAGGATATGGGTTCCACCTAAAATTTCCTCCCTACAATTTCCTATCCAGTTGCACATAGATACTGACAAATATGTTGGCATGAATTCACAGCCACCACTATTTTCCTGGGAAGAGTTCAACAATATATATTCTACTATTGAACATCAATAAATTCCCAGTCTGTTTACCAAAATAAACATGTAATCAGTCTCATAGCAGTTATCAAAAGATGAATCAAATACTGGATGCCAAGAGATGTCCTGGAGGTCAGACCCGACCCACAATAAGTTTACACCACAATAACATATGAGCCAGGCCAAACCATGCAAACTAGGGGAACTACCTCCAAAGGAGTCAAACTACACAGAAGAGCAGTTGTGTAACATAAGAGAAAAAAAAAATACTTACCATCGGCCTCAAATACAACTGCAATCTATGTTTTTTATGTCACCCAGTAGCAATGAGCCCTTCGCTACACAAATTACTGAATTCTCAAAATTTCCTGTTCAGGAGTAAAGGAAGCAATCAAAACCAAAGCAAAAGCACCTGCAAAACTCTTCTAATTAGGACTAAGTAAACAAATGCAGCTCCAACATGATAATGAGGGAATTAACTACCATACAATATCGATAAACAACAAAATCAAATACTAGAAAAAGCTATAACAAAGAGGAAAAGGTAAAATAATACAGACGAGACAGATTAGAGAATCAATAAGAATGTTTCACTATTCACATCCCAATTTAGCTTCAGAATGAATGAGCTAATAATGGCACTACAGTCAACACAACTTTAAAACTTTTTTCGCTCTGGCAGTACTGACTAGTACCCGAATACACACACCCGAAGCTCCTAAATTACATGTATCTAGCATATCCGAGCAATAGAGAATCAATTTTCCTCACAAAAAAGAAGAAAGAAGCCAAACAAATAATTGAGCATCCATGTCAGATTAAACGAAACCAATCACCCAGTAAAACCCAATGCGCAGCATAAACCCAAGAATCTTAAACATCGCTAATTGAACAAGAAAGAGATCATATCTATGTCCTATCGGATGGGAGAATCAATACACTGTACACAACATAGACACATGGGACTCAGAATTAGGGAAAAGAGGACATTGAGCTCCCACAATTCCACCACACTAAATGTCAAACCCACGCAACCAAATACAAAGAAAATGGAAATGCGAATTCACCTAATCAGACGCCCCCCGGGTGCGAAACTAAAGCCAGC